TGCTAGTTGACTTGCTCTCCAAGAAAGAAAACACCAGGGCTGATAGAGGACTCCTCAAACTTGGGGGAGAGCCATCCACTCTTTAGGAACCTGTATGGTTCTCCCAAATATTTCAGACCTGTGACCCTAAACACTGCAAACCAGTATCTGCCCTACTAAAATAGTGCCTACCAAATAAGAGAGATCTGGAATTCTGCTCCTCTGGAAAAAAGAAAAAAAAAGCCCTCACTACAAATATAGTCTTCACCTCATCCCAAACACCAAAGACCTACCTTCCAAACACACAAGCCTAGGTTTTACCTCCCTTTCATCTCCCCCCCATTAAAAAAACAAAAAACAAAAAAACACTAAATATCTTTCAAATATTGTCCTGAAAACCATTGCAGACCTGGGCTCTTCAAACTCTGGACATAAGCTTCGGTACCTCCTCCTTCAAACACTTGGGCCTCTCCTCTCCTCCCTCCACCCCTTAACCCTGCACAGGCTTACTGTGTCAGGGCTTTGGGAGGGGTAGGGGAAGGAGCAGCCACTGCCTACCCAGAGTTATTAGATCAACGGATGAAGATTCTTTCCTAAGCTAGCAAATTAAGACAAACTCTTTTCCCATCTGGCTGCTTCCTCTCTGTCCACTGGGGAGCATTTTGTTTCCTAGAACATTGAAAAGCTAATTCCCCATCCCCTCCAGTTCTACAAACACAGTCTAGGCCATAGCTATTAACCTAGCAAACAGCTGCTTAACTCCCAATGGGAGAAGGGGAGACAGTCTCCATTTAACATTTAATGAATGTCTTGTTTTCAGGCAGAGCCAAAATAGGGATCTCCAGGGTTGTCCTGTTTCCATGGATTGCCTCTAAAAAGGGTTGATCTGTGATCTTTAATGTGACTCTGTCTGCTCAGAGTTCTAACCATTCCTTTTTCTTTGACCCTTCACCCCACCTCACACATCGGTAGAGAGAGATGGAGGAGTATAGGGATTCACTTGTCCTGTGTCTTCCATTTCCCCTATCCTCTGAACAGGACCCTCAGGAAAAGGAAACTTTGTCAGAGCTAAAAGCGTTCATCTAGTCCAACTCTCACTTAATAAACTAGGAAACTGAGGCCCAGAGAAGAAAAGGATTTGCCCTAACCCTGAGCCAGATTCTTCTGACCATCAGTTGTCACAGTTTCAGTCTTTTCTGCATTATCATCTATATCCCACTCCCTAACTGTGGATGGCTCTCCAAACTCAAGGCTGTATCATATCTCTTTTCTACCCACAATTCCCTTTTTAGTTCACTTCTCTTGGGATCACATGATAACTCAAGAAGCTAATTCAGCTGAATCAAAATGAGCAATGTCCCCAACAAGGAAGGGGACAGTCACAGAATCAGAGGTGGAAGGCACCTTGGAATGTATCTAATCCAGCCAGTGCCTGAATAAGATGCCCTTCTAAGATGTCCCTGGCAGGTGGTTATCCAGCCTCCACAGGAAGATTTCCTTTGAAGTAGAACTCATTATCTCTCTGTTCAGACTTGGTCTACATATCCGGCATTGACAGTACTCTTGAGCTCTTGGCCCAAACAGCTTCACTAGGTGTCCCTCAGGCATCTCTGACTTATTTCTTCAACATGGAAGTCGTTCTTTCTTTCTGAACCCATCTCTCCTCTAATCACCTGTATTTCTGTTGAGAACATCACTATCTTTGCAATCTCCCAGGTTCATATTCATGGCGTCATCTTCAACTTTTCACTCAACATCTCCATCTCTAATCAGTTGCCAAGTATTGCTGACCCTTTATCTAAAATGTTTTTCACTTCCATCCCCTTTTCTCCATTCACCCACCAACACAGTCCTCTTCATCTCTCCCTAGATTAGGGCAGTAGCCTCCTAATTGGTTTCTTTGCTTCAAGTCTCTCCAGTTCATCCTACACACAATTGCCAAAATCATATTCCTAAAGTATAGATCTTACCATACTGCTCCCCTACTCAAAAATCTGCACTGATTCTATTGCCTCCAAGATGAAATACAAACTCCTGAGTTTAGCATTTAAAGTTTAACTTCATCCTACCTTTCTGAACTTGTTTTATGTTATTCCCTTTCAACCTTTACAATCCAGCCAAACAGAATCATTTTCTATTCCCTCAACTCGCACCATCTTCTTCCTCCATGTCTTTGCCTGTACTGGAATTTCTGGAATTTCTGTTTATTAGAATCTTTTAGCATGTTTTAAGGCTCAACTCAAGTCTGCCTTCAGGACAGAGCCTTTCCTGATCCCCTAGTTTTAAGACTCACTCCTCACATTATCTTGTATTCACTTATGTGGTTACATGTATATCTCCCCATAGAATATAAGCTTTGTATTTCCAACATCTAGCCCATTGTGCCTTTAAATCAGGCCTATGATTTCCTGGTATAAGATACTCTCAGTGGGTAAAGCCCTTCCTTCAGTGCATATCAGTACCCCCTCTGCAATTTGTACTCTTAACCCTGAGTCGCATAGCTATTATGTGTCTGAGGCAGGACTATAACCCAGCTCTTCCTGACTCCAGGCTGGCTGTCTCTCAACTAAGCCTCACTGCTTCTCTACCTTTCATACAGTAGATAATAAATGCTCATTGAATTACATTGTTAACGATGCCACCATTTACCAATCTCTCGTGTTCAAACATTGGCATGAAGAACTGTGGGGAGAATGTGCGATAAGGATGAGAACACTGAATCTAAAGTCAGAGGACACCCAGGTTTAAATTCCCCCTTTGAGGCTTGTTAGTTCTATGGCCAACAGTTAGTCACCTGAAGTGACTCAGTTTCCTCATCTGTAAAATGAGGACAGTGTAGCACTTTCCTCCCAGAGTTGAAAGAACCAAATGAGATTTAAAAAAACAAACTTTGAAAACCAATTACCAAACCCACTCAGTCTCTCTTCAAAATCTACCATAATTTTCCCCTCCTCTCTATTAACTAATTGCTAATTAGTACCTTAGTACAAGTTCTCATCATCCCTTAGAGTATTGTCATAGCCTCCCAGCTGATCTCCCTGACTCATCCCTAATCCATCCTTCATCCAGCTTTCAAATACTCTGCCCAAAGCAGAGTAGATCAGCAGATCATCCCTACCCTGCTCATCAATCTTCTGTGGCTCTCCGTCAGCTCAAAGATAAATGGTGAGCTTCTTGTTTTAGCCACTGGAGCCTTCTCCAGGCGGGCTCTAACCTACAATTTGTTCTGTTCCCTTTCAAAAATTGCACGTCAACCAAATAGGACCTTTAGTTATTTCCTGATTTCATCCTGCCCTCTCCCGCCTGCCTGGGTGTATTCATGCACCTGCTACATATTGATGTCTCTCCCTACCTTCAAGGCTTAACGCCCCCATGAAGCCTTCCCTGATCCTCCCAGCTAAAAGGGACTTCTCCCCCCACAAATTTTCTTAGAGTGCTTTGGCTGGATTCCTCATTTGTTCCAATCACAATATACTTCACATCATACTTACGTCCTGTCCCCGAATATATTGTCAGCTCTTTGAGAAGGATTGTGTTGCATTTTTCTTTGTATCTTCCCTGGATTCCAACACTGAGCCCTACACATGTTAAATAAATATTTGTTGAATTGAATTGAAGTCTTGATGGCTTGGGGAATCTCCCTCTAGCCCCACGAACATACTGTAGGAACAGAGATAGAAGTCCTCTGCTTGTCCCAATGGGCCCTGGTCCTCTACCCTGAAAAGGAGAAACCAGGGGCTAACCCATCCCAGGGCCCCTAAACTCATAACCCTCCCCCAAATCCTAGCTCTCTCCAAGGGTGAGTGGAGAAGGGAATATTTGTAGAGGGGCTCTGGCTTTGGAATGAATTGCTTCACACTGATCTTCTGCCCGTTTCACAGATAGGAAAATACCTCCCAAGAGAAAAGGGCTGAAACTTACCCATGCTCGAAATTAAGATAGCTACCCACTGAGGAGCTATAAAGAAAGGGATGACCAAGCATGAATGAGTTGAATTAAATTAAATAAACATTTATTAAGCAACTGTTATGTGAGGAGCTCTATGCTTAGTCCTGGGAGAAATACACAGTTCAGTCATAAGAGTCTGCTGGCCTTGGAGTCAAGGGATCTAGGTTCAAGCCCCAGTGACAATATTGATTAGCTGTGTGACCTTGGGTAGGTCACCTCCAAATCACAGTTTCCTCATTTGTAAAATAAAGAATACTTAAAATGCCTACCTTATTGGGCTGTTAGGAGGAAAGCACTTTTTAATTAACGTACCATAGAAATGAGAAGTATATATCACTTATAACATTATATAATAATCTATAACTCTTTTTTCATGGAACCCATAGTCTAGTAAGGGAATAAAACATTAACATAGATTATAAGCAATAATACGGTAAATGGTAATTTATGGTAAATACATTCAAGTATTACAAAATAAAGTGTTATTTCATAGAAGAAGGTTTAGAGAAGAAGGGTCCTTACTGAGGAGACAAAATTCAAAGAATGTGTCCTATAGGAGGTGATATTTGACAGGAGAGATAGGACAGCAAGCAAAGAAGGGAAGGGAAGACATTCCATGCCTAGGAAACACGGTGGGTGGTAAGAGAGAAGGCAGGTTGTGTAAGGGGGAGAAGCATGTTCTGGAGGAGATTCTAAAAAGGGCAGTACTGTGAGATAAGACTGAAAAGTTTGGAGGGTGTGGAGTTGCCCATAGTCTGAATGCCAAGCCAAGGAATTTGAGCTTGGCTCTGTAGGTGAAAGGTAGTCACTAAAGACTTTTGAGCAAGAAATGATAGAACCACCCAAGAAAGATTGTTCTGAGAGTGTTTATGAAGGATGGTTTAGCAGAGTGGAAAGAGCAGATGCAGAAAGGCACACTGGGAGGCCACTTCAATAATCCAGACTGGTGGTGATTAAAAGTGGTAGCAGCTAGAGGAGGGAGGCATCAAACCCCAGGTTTCAAACATGGGAAACTGGATTTTCCCACTGACAATAGAAATCAAACCAGACAGAAAAACAGACATAGGGTTAGGTATACCTCCTTTCCCCTCTCTGGGCCTCAGTTTCCCCATCTGTACAATGACAGTACAGAGCACATATTAGGCACATTTGATGAGTTCTTTTCAGTGACTGATTCATAATGTTAGCCCAGATAGGGACCTTTCCAGCTCTGACAATTTGTGACTAAGTTATCTGACCCCCATGATCCATGGCTCATGTTCCCTACTTTATCACTCTCCCCATCCCTCTCCATAGGTGTATGTGTAAGGCCCTCCCCTCCCTAAAGTCTAGACCCAGACCAGATGGTCTGTCTGCCCTGCCCTCTCTTCAGCCCAGCAACTAGAGGGGGAAGGGAGAGGGAGAAGGGAAATTGGGGTGGAGCCAGTCCTGGATAAATACTCCCAGTGGCCAGTCTTGGAGTCTGAGTGTCTGCTGCATCACCAAAGCCAGGAGTCTGAGCCCACTCTCAGGTAAGTAAATCTGCTGCCTTCCTTTTCTTGCCCAGGTCCTTGGGTTCCTTGATTTTCCTATTCCTTCCTAAAGAGGGGAAGACTCAGCCCTGCCCCCACATCCTTAACTCTTCCCTCTTCTTTCAAAGTTTTGTTTCCCTCTATACCCTTCCCACTTACTCCAAGCTCTTTCTCTCCTTACCCCACAGGGCTTCTCCTGTTTCCTGTCCCTTCTCCCCTTGATCTAGAACTCCCCCTTCTTCCCTCTCCTCATCCAAGCTCTCCCCATGCCCCTTGTCCCAGACCTACCCCATCCTTTCTCCCTGATCCTCAAATGTCTCCTTTCCTTTGGGCTCCTCCAGTCCCCCTCTCCCCTTGCTCCAAAGCTTTCCTCCTCCCCTCTCATTCTCCCCTGGGGGAATGTCCCCAAACATCCTCCTGTTCTCTCCAGTGTTCCTGGTACTTGTCTCTTCTCTAGATTTCAATGCTTTGCCCCTTCTCTCCTTCACCAATTGGAGGAAAGTCGAATCTGAGGAATGGGGAAGCAGTTTCTCCAGAGATAGGAAGATGCAGAGAAATTAGCACTTTCTTGCCTCTTAATTGTACATTCCCCCTCCCTGCTACCTGTCCTGGAGAAATGGCTGAGCCACTGCTTTTTATCATGACTTACCCTGATATATCACTTTACATGCTATCTTCTGGGCTGGGGAACAAGGCTTTCTTTCTCACCATTCCTTTTTTATTATCACGTATATTTTTGAATTTTGCTTTAGGTGAAGATTTTCAATGACCTCAGGTACTTTGACCTTTCCCTCTTTTTATTTTACCTATTATTTAAATTAATCTCTTAGTTTGTCTAATCTAGGTTTGGGGATAATGTTATTTCTTACTATTACTTTGCACTTGTTGGCAATATATTGTCATGTGATGTGGAGATGAAGGTACTGTTGATGAAAATAATGTGAAGACATTATCTATAGCTGGTAAGATCTGTGTCTAATTTTTTTTTTTTTTTTGGTTAGGCAATGGGGTTAAGTGACAGTGCCCAGGGTCACACAGCTAGTAAGTGTTATGTGTCTGAGCCTGGATTTGAACTCAGGTCCTCCTGAATCCAGGGCCAGTGCTCTATCCACTGCTCCACCTAGCTGCCCCTTTCCCACCATTCCTGTTCCCTACTCCTGAGCCCCTCTCATGGGAAGTAAATAGTTTGACTGGTGGAAGGAACTCCCTGCCCTCCTGCTTCCAGAGCAAAAGACTTTGGGGTTGAGATCCTCAGCGTTAACATTCTCAGGTTTCAATTTCACTTTGTAAATTGAGAAGTCTCATCATGGAATACAGCAGTCAAAAATACTAATGCAATCTCAGACTGAATTGAAAGCTCTGGTGTACAGTATAGCTGTACTCTGCCCTTGTCTGGCCTCATCTGGTATGCACTGGGTTCAGTTCTAGGTTCTACTTTGAGGAAGACCACTGATAAACAAACCAGAGAACATTCAGAAAAGGGTGATGAGAATGGGGAAAGGATTGGAGGCCATGGCAAATAAAGCCTTGGGGAAGAGAAAACTTCGGGGAGAAATCATAACTTTCTTAATGTATTCAAAGAGCCGTTGTGTGGAATGATTAGATTTGTTAAGCTTGGCCCCTGAAGGCAGAACAAGTTAAGGGAACTTGGAAATCAATGCGGCAGTGGGAAGGGACATGACAAACGAAGGAAAGAAAAACTTCCTAAGAAATCAGAGCTCTTCCAAAGGAGAATGGGCTTCAATAGAGAAAGTTGATCATCCCTCCCTAGAGGTCAGTCAGGCAGTCAACAAGCATCTAGTAAACATTTACCAGATGGCAGGCACTGTACTAAGCCCTGGGGATCCAAAGGAAGGCAAAAAAATAAATAGTCCCTGCCCTCCAGAAACTTACATTCTAAAGGGGCGAACAGGTAAATAGCTGCACACATAGAAGATATATAGATATATATATATATATATATATATATATATATATAAAGAGAGAGAGTAATTGAAAAGGTAATCTCAGAGGGGAAGGGACTAGCAACTGGGGGAGTTGGGAAAGACCCCCTTCAGAAGATGAGATTAGAACTGACTTTTGAAGGAAGAGGACGGGGGAGGATAACGCATTGCAGCGATCAGAGCAGCCGGTGCAAAGGGAAAAGGCGGGTTGTGTTCAAGGACCAGCCCGGAGGCTAGCATCGCTGGAGCATAGACTGCTGGAGGGGAGTAAAGTGTAAGAAGACTGAAAAGGTTTTTATTTTTTTGATGTATTAGTCAGTTATGCTAGCTTTTCCTTCTTTTTCATCTTTCGTCTTTAAAAAATACTATTTGTTTTATGGGATGACTCCCTGGGCTGGGGAAGAAAGGGCAAAGAGTACTTGGGAAAATTATGGTGATGTAAAAAAAAATGTATCAATAAAAACTTTTTTGAAAGAAGACTGGAAAGGTAGGAGGAGCCATGCTATGAAGAGCCTTAAATGCCAAACAGAGGATTTTATATTTGATCCAGGAATTAATAGGAAGCCCCTGGAGCTCATTGAGCCAGAGCAGACGTGGTCAAACCTGTGCTTTAGGAAAAAATCACTTTGGCTACTGATGTACTGATGAAAGGATGGATTGGAGACTTGGGCAGGAAGACCAACCAGAAAGCTAATTCAGTTTCCCTTCACTTACTCTCAGATCCTTCACTCTTCAATGAAGCCAGTACCTTCCTCCAACTTCCCTTCTAAAAGCAAGACAAGCTTACCCCCTTCACCCCTGGAAGGGATTTTGTAAGACCACTTACCTAGAGCTGGAAGGGACCTGCCAAGCTGTCCATTTAAGGGCTGAGGAAGCTGAGGATAGGAGGGAGATGAAGTAGTAATGAAAAAAATAGCTAACACTTAACACAGTGCCTCCAATGTGCCAGGACTGGGCTAAGTGCTTCACAATTATGTCATCTGATCCTCACAACCCTGGGAGGGAGGTGCTGTTATCATCTTCATTTTACAGATGAGGAAACTAAGACAAAGGTTAAGTGACTAGCCCTTGGTCACACAACTAGTAACTATCTGAGGTGGGATTTGAACCCATGTCTTCCTGACTTCACAGCCTGGTTCTATCCACTACTCTGTACTGTCTCTAGTTCTTTAGGTTCCCCCAAGAAGTGGAGAAGGAAAATGACCTCTGGGACAGTAAGCAGAATTTAGAGTGAGGGGAGATAACAAAGTGGGGTCTAAGCTGGCTTCCCTGGGGATGGAAGGCTGACTAGAAGAAAGGGACATGCAAGAGCCCCTGTAGAAGGGTTATATTATTATAGTACTTCAAGGTTTGCAAATTGCTTTTGCCACAAAACTTGTCACATAGAAAATGAAGTATATCATGGTCCCCAACAACAACACATCAGCAAGAGCTCGACCCCAGGTTCATTCAGTGCCAGGTTCTACAGTCTGCTGAAGCAGGTCTGGTGATTCTCTTCTGCCCCTCTGTTCCATCCTCCAGGCCACCTGGATAACCTCTCTGACATGTCTTGTCTACGGCCCCTCCTGCTCTTAGCACTGCTGGTTCTTTGGACCCAGATTTCTTATGCTCAACACTGGTCCCATGGCTGGTATCCTGGGGGGAAGAGGGCCTTAGATGAGATCCCAGGCCTAGAGGTAAGTGAAATGTATGTCCTTCCCTCCTTCCTCATTCTCCCTGCTTCATTATCTCTGCCTCCTCTGCCATGCAGCTCTCCAGGGTGCACAGAGCCACTCTTTACAAGTAGAGGGTCTAATGCTGGAGATGATGTTCAAAGGCCAGACACCTTGACCCAAACCTCATCCATGGGAGCTTGGGCCCCTGAACCACCTTCATCCTCCTGGGGAGGCCAGAACCATGGATATGGGCAGCCCTTCTCCTGCCCCTTCTAGCTCTAAAGTTTTGGAGGGGACCTAGGATCATCATTTCTCTCCCCCTTAACAAGAAACAAGGAGAAAAGGCCTCATTCATCTCTGCTTTCCATTCTCTGCTCAGGCCTCTGAAGAAGGGAAGCTGTGGGATGGTGGTGAGAGGTCCCTGCTAAAGACACTGCTGGTGAGAGCAAGCCTGAGTCCTCCCCGCCCTACCCTGACCACCCCTGCTTTACCCTGGGCCCTTGGAGAAAAAGGGAATAGATTCCTTCTGCCCTTCTCCTACTGTCTTATCCATTCCTTACCTAGCCCCATCCCTCTTAACCTCTTTTTTTCTAAGTGATTAAATGGATTCTCCCCTGCCCAGATGAGAGAAAGAGATCTCAGGCCAGCCAAGGAGGATTTGGATTCAGTTGTCACCTGTGTGACTTTGGGCAACTTGTTTGACTTCTCTGGACCTCGGTTTCCTCATCTGTAAAAATAGGGAGGTTGGGCTCTCTAAAACATGTCATCTCATTTGATCCTCTGGACACTCCTGTGAGGCAGATGCTATTTTTTAAATTAAATTTAATTAATTTATTTTTGTTACATTTTAAGTCTCCACCTTGAACTAGAGAAGGCCACTATTTGACATATATGTATATATGTGCATGTAGCATACACACATGCATATATACATGTATATATACACATGTATATACACATGCATATATAGTGCATATATACATGTGTGTGTACATATATATATATATATAAAACCATACCATGTGTACTTCTATTTTTTAGTTCTTTTCTTTTAGTCCTATTTTTTAGTTCTTTCTCTAGAGGTGAATAGCATCTTCTTTCATAGGTCCTTTGTAGTTAATTTGAGTACTTATAATACTCAGAATAACTTAGTTGTTCACATTTGTTTTTTGAACAGTATCGATGCTACTGTGTACAATGTTCTCTAGATTCTGCTCATTTCACTCTTTATTATTTCATACAAGTCTACCAGGTTTTTCTAAAATCAACTTCCTCATCATTTCTTATAGTACACTAGTATTCCATCACATTCATGTACCACGACTCATTTAGTCATTCCCCAATTGATGGGTATCCCCTCAATTTCCAATTCTTAGCTAACCACAAAAAGAACTGCTATAAATATTTTAGAACATGTAGTTTCTTTTCCTTTTTTCCTTTGGGTGCTTTTGTTATTCCCATTTTACAGATAAGGAAACTTCGGCTGAGAGTGGTTAAATTACTTACTCAGGGTCACATTTGTAGAACGAATTTGCTCCCCTAGAACGTCTATACCCATGACATCCCCTAAAGGTTATTATTTTACGTGTGAAAGTACTTTGAAAACAGTAAAGCCCTTTGCACATTGTAAAACACCGCAAGAACCAAAACCAGCTTCATTTTTGCCACCATATTTTCATTAGTCGAGTGACCTTCTGAGTAAGGAGACTCCCTCCACCCACGGCAGATCTTTACCCACCCTTCTGCAATGGAGGTCCTTAGAGGAAGCTTGCGGCAGCGGAAGGGTGTGGCATGTTCAGAGGTGTCAGATACAGCGCTTGACCCCAGCCCACTTCTGAGGCTAGTTCTCTACCCACACGATGCACCAACACCCTGCTTTCATTAATATCCTGTTCCCTCCCTTTTCTGCAGGCTGACGTTCTGGCCCAGCAACAGCAGAAGTGACCCGGGCCCAACACCCTTCCCCCAGGGTGTCAGCAGACACCTCGTCCTTGGCTTCTGGGGGTTCTCAACAGCCTTTCCTTGTTTGTTATCCATGTCTGCCCTCTCTCCCTCTAAACCCCTGGAAGACAGGTGGTTTACCAGGTCAAATTTTGTAGACCCAGGGCGTTGCTCGAAGTAGGTAATTAATAAATGTGTTCTGTTATCCATATTCTATACTGTTTCTCTGTTAAGCTGACTGTCACATCTACTTGTCCAGCCCCAAACCTTGCATTTCTTCACTCTCCCATTTCCAGTTGCCTTTTAGAGATTTCATACTGGATGTCCTCTAGATGTGTTAAATTCAACATGTCCAGAATTGAATTCATCATCTTTCTCCAAAAACTCTTCTTTTTCCCTGACTTCCCTATTATTATTGAGAGTGCCACCACTGTCCCAGTCCCTCAGGCTTAAAACTTAGCTGTCACCCTCAGCTTCTCACTCTCTCACCCCCAGGCTCTGCCACACCTCCCTGGATCCAATCAGTGGTCGGGTCCTGTCATTTCCACCTTCACAATATTTCTCATATAAGCCCCCTTTCTCTCCTCTGACACTGCCATCATCCTGATACAGGCCCTCATCTCCTCATGCCTGCACTATTACCACAGCCTGGTCTTCCTGCCACAAGACTTTCCCCACTCCGCTTAACTCCCAAAGTGATTTTCCTAAAGCAGAGGTCTGACCGTGTCACCTCCCTACCCACTCCAGCAGTTCTCTATCACCTCCAGGATCAAACAGCAAATTTTCTGATTGGCTCTTAAAGCCCTTCCCAAATGGGTGCTTCCTACTTTCTAGTCTTTCTATGCCTACATCCTGCGGTGTAATCTGCCATCTAGTGACACTGGCTTCCTTGCTCTTCCTCCATCTCCCAGCCCCAAGCATTTTCTCTCGCTGTCTGCCCTGCCCATCACTCTCTCCCTCCTCGTCTCTACCTCCTGACTTCCTTCGAGTCCCAGCTAAAACCCTACATTCTATAGAAAACTTTTCCCAAACCCACTTAATGCAATTATTTGCATAATCTGTGATTATTTCCAATTTATCCTGTCTTTATTTTATTCGTACCTTATTGTTTGCATTCTGTCTCCTCCATTAGACTGAGGGTTCTTTGAGAGCAGGGACTATTATTTGCCTTTCTTTGGATTCCCCAATGCTTAGGCCAGTACACAAGCCACAAAGCAGATACTTGATAAATGCTAATTGACTGACTAATTAAATTGATTGAGAGGTTCCTCCTCCTCCATCCCCTCCATTCTTGCTCTGTCCTGGTGAAGAGGCCTCCTCTCCTCTCCTCACCATGCTAGCTTTCACCAGGCAGCCAATCACTGTAGATGGGGTGACTCATACACAGGTAGGCATGGCTCAGCAGCCCCCTCAGATGATTGCTATGGAGCTTTTCCTTACATTGAAATAAAATCTGCTTCTCTGTAGCTTCCACCTATTGTTCCCAATTAAGTTATGTCATTGCTGCCTCTGTGGCATCTGGTGCTCCCTGGACTCCATGCTTCTGGGTCATAGTCTTGTAAATTAGAGCTGGAAGGGCCCTTAGCAGCCAACCCCTTCATTTTGCAGATGAAGAAACTGAGGCCCATACAAGTTAAATGACTTGCCCAAGGCCACAAAGGCAGGATTTGAATCCAGGTCTCCTGCCTCCAGAGCCAGTGCTCTTTCCATTGTCCCACTCAACCTAAGTGGATTCACCTGCTGACTGGCTGGGAGCAATGACTGCTGGAGTCAGGCTGATTTTGAGACATCTAGGGGCAGTAGTTAGAGGGTCCCCTTCAAAGATCACTACAAGGTGAGGAATTGTGATTGCTACCCAATACCCAGGCAGTTGTGAGGAAGACATGTTTTGTAGTGTGTGTGTGTGTGTGTGTGTGTGTGTGTGTGTGTGTGTGTGTGTGGAATTAATTGCTACAAGGAGTGGCCCAGAGGGACACAATTAAACAAGCTCCAGCCAAGGCTATTGGCACTCTCCATGGTCTTTAAGGACTTCCAGGCCCTTGGCTGAGCAAAGAAAAACAGCCTTCACAGAACCTGAGATTTGGAAGGGACCTCAACAAGTTCAGTCCAACCCATACACCAATCCTCAAAGGCTGTCCTTCAACAACATCCCACAAGACTCCTCAGTGAATGCAACAGGAATATCTTCATTCAAAGAATCTTTAGACTGTCAGTATCAAGGGAAGCTTACAACAGGGAGCTATATGCTTGATATAAGTATTGCACATTGTCATGGAGAATGTCTTGTGCTGAAAGGAGAGTGTCTATCAGTGGTAAGGTCTTGCAGATTCTCCTGCTTGTGGCTGGCATTTCATTGATTGTATCAAGCTGCAGAAAACTCCAGAGCCATCTCAGTGAGATCTGTAAACACTAAGAAGAGATGGGCGTAACAGTCTACACTGGAAAAACCGAGGAATTAAGCATGCCTGGACTTCAGTGTCCAGCTGCATAGGGCAGTCCAGCATAAATACTTATATCTTGGACAGGCAATAAACTAGGCCCAGAATGGGAGAAAGACAATTAACAAGGTTGTATTTGAGAAACTGGGCAGCATTTTCAGTGACCCCAAGATGTTCCCTGACACAAAGCTCCCTTTTTTCAAACACTAATATTCTTCTGATGACATGATATAGCTGCAAATAAAGAAACAACACAATCCTCAGAAAATCAAAATTACCCATGACCCAAAGTGCAATGGAGAGATGAATGGTGACCATAAAGAGATTGTGACATATTGCCAACAATGACTTGTGTACAAAATGCTGTGCAGGAAATGTATGATCAGGAAGAGTGCAGCTAGAGAAAGGAACAACAGCTGAAAAGCTAAGACCTGAAGCAGGGGTTTGTAACCCTTTTTTTGTCATGGGCCCCTTTTGGTAGTCTGGTGAAGCCTATGGACCCCTTTCTCAGAATAATGTTTTTAAATGCTAAGACAGAATACATAGAATTCTAAGGAAAACTCATTGCTTCCTTTCTCTGCCATCCCATTAATTCTCCAATGCTCCACTGGAAGCCTACTGTTTTGGGGTTTTTTGGACACTCCTTCTGTACAAATGAGCACAGAGCTGGCAGCTTTTCTCTTCCCACCATGATTAGCTACATTGTGAGTTTAGCACAGTGCCTGGCACACAGGAGATGCTTACTAAGTGTTTACTCTAGCTAACGAGGGCATACGGGTCTTAGAGAGGCCTAATCCAATTTCTTCACTCTATGGATGAGGAAACTGAAGGCCAGAAAGGTTAAGTGTTTGGCCCAGGGTATTACAGGTAGTTAAACGGCTGATCTGTGATTTGAGCCCGGGACCCAGGACTGGCCCACCAGGGCTGTCCCATGGCACCAGATGGTTCCAGGAGCTACTACTGCCTCTGCCTTTCTCTCTGTTGTCACTGTCAATCAGTCAACATTAAGCATTTATTCTGTGCCAGGCATTGTGCTAAGATAGGCAGGGGGAAACAAAGGATGGATAAAAACAACCCCTTTGCTCCAGAAGCTCACATCCTAATGGGGGAGACAACGTGTAGCTACGTGGACACGAGGTGTGAAGGGTGTCCCAAAAGTCTTCGTGCGGTTTTAAGCCATTATACTTTACATCTCAATTTCGGGACAACCTGCATACAGTCTGAATGGGAAGTAATCTTACAGGGAAGGGGGGTTGGGAAAAGCTTCCTACAGAAGGTGGAATTTTAGCTGAGACTTGAAGGAAGCCGGGAGGTAGAGATGAGGATGGAGGTCGTTCCAGGCATGGGAGACGGTCAGTGAAAATGCCTGGAGTCGGGAGATCGGGTGTCTTGTTCTAGGAACTCCAAGGAGGCCGGTGTCGCTGGATCGCAGAACGCGCGGCAGGGTGTAAGGGGTAATGAGACTGGAAGGGATGGAGGACTAGGATATAAAGGACTTTGTAGAGGATTTTATATTTGATCCCGGAAGTGATAGGGAGCCACAGAGGTGATTGAGTCCGGGACTTGACATAGTCAGACCTGCCCTTTACCAAGCCTGGGAACATGCACACGTTGTCCCCTACCGAGGTTACTGGGAGGCTATTGGCCCCGGTCCAAAGTTAAAAGGGGGCGGGCCGGGGCGGGATTTGAAGGTATAAGGCGATTGGCTAGAGGAGGTGGAGCCTTTAGACGGACAGGGCAATGATTGGCGAGGCACACAGGAAGGTAATATGGGAGGGCTGAAAGGCACATCAAGGGTGATGATTGGTGAATGGAGACAGGGTGCTGATTGGCGGAAGTTAAGGCACTAGAGAGTGAAGAATGCGGTGATTGGTTGGCGGGAGAAGTCTCGAGCATGCGCTGAGCCACGAGATAATGTTAGAGACTCGCTGTCCCAGAATACCTCGCGATTACGGCCATGCTCGGCACTTTAGGGCGTTTGGGCCCCTCGGTCAGGCCTCCGGTTCCTTCTCCTTCTTTACCGCTATTGCTGCCGCCCGCACGGGGCCGTAAGAGCCGCCATGACCCGCCTGCCAAGTCCAAGATCGGGCGCTTGCGAACCCCGACCCCCGTAGACCCCGCCGAGATGTACGTGCTAATGGAGCGTTATAAGAGTTATAAACAGACCGTGCGAGCACTCAGGTATGGAGGGGCCGCGCATGATCTTGGGAGGGGAGGAGCCTGCAGCTGGGGGCGGGGCCACGGATGAGTCATGGAGGGGAGGAGCCGCGGCTGGGGGCGGGGCCACGTGTGAGTCATAGCGGGGAGGAGCCTGAAGCTGGGGGCGGGGCCGAGGCTTCCCAGCCCTACCCTAGGAGAAGAAAGGGGCCAGGCTTTGGACATGGGTATTGAGAGTAACTCAATTCCCCAAACTTTCACCAAGCTTCTTACTGGGAAGATATTTTGCTGAGTACATGGGATACAAAGATAGGAGCTTATAATAATAATATTCATAATCATAACAGCAATCCGCATATATATATCCCTTTTAAGGTTTACGTGAAATCATATGGTGCTCTCCACAGGCCTTTGAGATAGGTAGGTGCTGTTGTACCCATTTTATAGATGAGGAAACAGGCTGAGAGGGGTGCGTATCTTTCCCTGTTAGAATGTGAATTCCTTGAGAGCAGAAACTAATTTTATTTTTCTCTCTGTATCCCCAGCACTTAAGCATAGGGCTTGGCACATAGTAAGCATTTAATAAATGCTTTTTCATCCATTTATTCATTTAAGTGACTTGCTCAAGATCACATAACTGATAAGTGTGTGAGATAAGATGAAAATCTAGGTCTTCCCAACCCCCAAATCTAGCACCATCATGCTAGCACAGAGGAGAGCGAGGGAAAGTAGGCTTCATGGGCAAGATGGCACCTGAATTTTAAGAAATAGAGATAGAACAGGGAGACCATTCTTGGTGGTTCGGGGGGGACAGTTAAAGGGTCAGGAGAGGAGGTCAGGACTTGAAAGAGGATGGAGAGTCAACAAGTTTGTTTGGAGCAGAGGGTGCAGAGGCTGCTGAAAACTTGTATGAAGATATTAGAAAACAGGAAGTCTTGTATGGTGGAGGCAAGAGGTCTCCTCAGCAGACACACTTAAACAGAAGTATCCAGATTAAAACATCCTTGGGGAATATTTAATAAAATAAGTAAAAATGCAGTAGAACACAGATAATGTTAAAATATGGTTTTCTAAATATGTGGCTTGCAAGGATTCTTCTGTGTGGTTTAGCGGCCCTGTTTCTATTTGAGTTTGATATCACTGCTCAGGAGGCCCAGGGAAGAAAGGGGATGGTCCCTGGATTTGACTTTTGATGCCAAATTTCTGAATCCTAGACTTGAGTTCATGGAAGAGGTTTGGAGAAAAGCAAATGACAAGAAGTTTGGGGGCCTGAAAGCTGTACAGGATTCTGAGGAACACAAGCAGCTCATGGCCTGGAACCAAGCAGAGAACGCTCGGCTTCAGGCGCTGAGGTGAGGAGCGTGTTCTGCCCCTTCTGTAGGTGACCCAGGGTCCCCCTTGGATGGCACGAGGGTGGAGGGGCTCAGATCTTAAAGACAAGGGAACCCCTGGCCTGGTGTGTCTTGACATGTCAGGAAACAGGAGGCCCTGTTTGGGGGGAGCCTCGTGCTCTTCTGGACCTCTCACCGTAGGATCTCAAGGTTTCAGCGGCAGGAGCAGGAGCAGGCCCGGCTCCGGGAGCTGGAGGAGATGCAGGAGGCACAGGAAATGGAAGCTTTCGTCCAAGAGAAGGAGAAAGAAGTGCTTCAGTTGCAGGTGGGCTGGAGCTTGGGATGTGGGCCCTTTCCAGGGGGAAGAAGGCACTACTGCCTGTAGGTTGGTGCTAGCAGTTTCCTGGAGGAATCTCTTCTGATTGCCCCAGGGCTTTCAGGCCAGTGCCACACAGAGGCTTGGAGCTCTGCAGCTCCCTGGCTGAGGAGATGGCATTTTTCTGCCCATTTCAGGGGTTTCTAGCTTTATTGCCCCTCCTTCCAAGGAGGGCCCTCAAGTGTGCTGTGAGACGGACCCAGGTGTCATGGCCCAAAGGTCTGACTCTTCAGTGTTGATGTCTGAGGCTGTTTAGCTGAAGGAAGGAAGACTGAGGAGGGAAGGGATGGCTGCCCTCCAGGGGTTATTAGGAAGAAGAGACATCAGACCCATTCTGCTTGGCCCCAGAGAATGGGAGCGATGAGAGGGACTGGAAATCATTGGACATTTCGAAGAGCATTCCAGGAGTCAGAGGCATCCAGTGGAACTAGCTGCCCTACTAAGTAGTGAGCTCCCCATCACTAGAGGTATCCAGCTGAGGACTGGAAGGCCCCCAGTAAGGGAAATTGTGCCCAGGATTCCTACTGGGGGAAGGCTGGGCATAGCCCCTCCCCTCTGGGCTCAGTTCTCCTCTGGGATTCTAACCCTCTGATTTCCAATTTGTCCCCAACAGGAAGATGTGAAAACATTCATTACTCAGGATAATTTAGAGGAGAAGATTGAAGCCGCCCTTGACAATCCCCGAAACTACAATTGGGCCCTTACCAAGGAGGGCCACGTGATTCGACCGCCCGGCGGGACATAGGGCTGCCAGGAGTAGCTGCTGCCAGGCCCTGGGGAGCTGGAGCTCTTATCTGTTTTCTCCACCCCACCACCCATACCAGGCTTTCTCTGGCCTCCTTGCTCCTTACTGATAATTAAGGAATAAGCAGGTACAGAATAAAGGGATGATGCCTCTTTTGTAAGCCTCCTGAGCGTTTCGTTTCTAAGCTATTCAGGGCTAGGGGGCAAGGGCCCCAAGCCTTTCTGCTGACCGCACATCTCCCTCACTCTCCTTAGCATAGATCCCTGTCTTCAGTGCCAGGATTAATCACGGATCTATAGACCATCAGATCTAACCCCTTCCCTGTACAGATAGGGAGTTCAAAAAGGGTGTGAGACTCAGCCAGATTAATGGCAGAGGTGGGCACAGGCAGCCCCTGTCTTTTGGAGATTGGCCGGACTCCCAGCTCCTTAACTGACGAAACCTCCCTTGCCTCTGACTCTGCCATGTCATTGGCTATTTAGAGCAGGGAAAGACCAGGCTCTAGGCTTTAGAGCAGGGAAAGTGTCCACAAGGGGGTGCAGCTGACCCTGGCCTGGAAGGAGTGGGAGTGGACGGTGGGAGCAGAGAATCAATTTCCCAGCTGCTCTCAGGAAGAGGAGGGATCCCACGAGTCTACCAATGTCTGCTGCACCCCATAATCAGTCACTCAGCAGGATCCCTCGGTAGCCAGGACACCGATGAGTGTGAAATTAGAGCTAGAGAATTGCAAGCTAGTGGGCAACACCTGCTTCCAGTGAGGATTTGCCGTGACCTCGGGAACCTTGAGAGTTTGAAGGGAGGGCAGACAGCTTCATAGCTTCCTCAGGATTGGCTGTGGTCTCTGAGCAGGGAGCCCCTTCTTCCACTTCAACATGTGGGTAACAGCCTTAGAAAAGGGAAGTAGTTACTCCACATCCCCTGCCACCTTATTTAAAGCAAAGATGGGGTGAGAGCAGGGGTTCCCTACCTGGGAATTCAAAGCTCTTCCTGATACACAGACCACATAGAGTAGCCTCCTATCTCTCAAACTCTGGGACTCCATCATCTGTCTTTCCCTTGCCAGCTAATCTATACAGACTGTAAAAAGTAAATGGACAAGGGGCAGCTAGGTGGTGCAGTGGGTAGAGCACCGGCCCTGAAGTCAGGACCTGAGTTCAAATCGAACCTCAGACCAAACACTTGACACTAGCTGTGTGACCCTGAGCAAGTCACTTAACCCCAATTGCCTAAAAATTTAAAAAAAAAAGTAAATGGACAGCAACTAATGTCACAGAGATTCAGCTTTATTGAAGGGGAAGGGCTGGGAAATGAGCTGCTCCGTCTGGCTGGATCTGTCCAGGTCTAGGAGAATGTGGGTTCTTGGTCACAGACAGGGTCTAGTCCACAGCCATCTACAAGAGAAAGGAAAGGTTATTTCAGTCAGGTGGAAGCAGTCTTGGACTCTGTCTTCTCCAGCCCCTAACCCTGGAGAGAAAAGGGAAGCCGCCAAAGGTCAGAGCAGGAGAGGGAAGAAGTCGGGAAAGGAAAGGGGTTTTGGGGGAGGGAAGCTGTCACAACGCCCTGGAGGCTGCACTACTGACACAGGTAGGGGGGACCCAGGAGTGCCCAGCCTCTCACCGCTGCTGCAGCAGATCCCGCTGGCAGCACAGCGCCCTCCACTCCCGCAGGGTTTCTGGCCAGACTGGCACGGGGAGGGCAGGTAGCTCTCTTCCTGGCACCTCAGGCTCTCGGCCGTGCCCATGTAGCAGCCTAGCTCTTCCCCGCAGCAGATGCTGGGTCCGAAGCAGCGCCCTTTGCTTCCTGGACCACAGGGGAGGCACTGAAAGGTGGGGAGAATGACAAGGGTCAGGACTCTGGACAGCGCAGGGTGGATCTCAAGCGGATCAAGCAGACAGCGTCTGAGTCCCATCTCCGACCCCTTAGTTTGGAAGCTGAGCAAACTGGAACCCAGAGGGTGGAAGGGATTCACGCAGTTCATGCAGGGAGGCCGAAGTAGAGCGCCCACAAGAAGCAAGGGCCACGCCCAAGCCCGGGGTTTTCTTCTGCCCTGCCCTGCCCTGCCCTGCCCTACTTTGAGAAGTTGAGCCTGGATAGGGGAACCCGACACCTGTGCGGGGAAAGGGGACTAGGACAGAACTGAGGATCGGAGCAGCCGAGGGAACAGCACGACAAGGACTCAGGCATTAAGGCATCCAGGGCAGCCTTGAGACCCGCGGGTCCTGGAGGTTTGTTTGGAGGTGGCCTGTGGCCCGTTGCATGCCCCAAAGCCGCCTAAGGGGGTGCCCGGGGCCGGGAGAGGGGCCTCCTGTCGGGGTCCCACCCGGGCGGAGCCTCACCTTGCGCACGTCCATGTCCAGAGTCGAGCGCTTGCCGCCGATGGGGCAGTTCTGGATGTAGCAGGCAGAGGCCAGAGCCAAGAGAGCGAGGAGATAGCAGCAGGCGAGACCGGGACGGGGCCGAGGGGCGAGGCCAGGGAGGGAGCCGGGGCTGCCCATGGTGAAGCTGACTGTCTCAGAGGCTGGATTGGTTAGGCTGAGGCCCGGGTGCCCGAGGCTGATCTTCCTTCCCGGGGCTCTGAGCTCCCTGCCCTGCGCTGGGTTTATTTATGCCCCGGAGCCAGAGGCCTAAGGTGGCAGCCGCTTGGAAGCTCACGCCCGGTCAGCGGGAAGTGAGTGCCACCAGTGCCGCCTCATTTAGCCGGGTCGGGCTGGGGCACGGGGTCGGGTTGTCTGGTCAGGGCCGAGCTCGGGGCCAGAACTGGGGCTCTGCCCTCATTAGGCTGCGGCTGTACTTAGTGTCAGACAACAGCCCTAAATGCTGCCCTAAATGAACTTCCAATTAACTCGGCTGTAAGCTCTGAGCCTGCAGGCCAGCAGCCCTTTTTACTCCCCCACTTCCACACTTCCCTCCAAAAGTCCCCCTTCTTCTCTTGGTCTTTTTCCAGATCGAGAGGAGCTGGTCCCAGGGCCACTTCTTGGATGAAAGGCCTGCCTGTCTTTCTCAGAGCAAGAGACAGCCTGCTCCATCTGTCTCCTCCTAGGAAAGCAGAAGCCAAAGTCCAGAGAGGGAAGGTGCTCCCAGACAGTGGACTCCAGAGACCCAGTCCTTAGCTCCCTCCCCTTTATCAAAGACTGCCTTCCTCAGGAGATGGGGTGTCCAGGGATTGGGAAATTAAGGTCCAGGGGAATTGTGGGCTTGGGCCAGGACTCAGGCCTGACACCAAGAGAAGCACAGACTGAGGGAAGAGTAGGAAAGCTAGACTCAAGTCAGGAAAGGGACAGACCCCAGGAGAAGGGTCTGCCAAGGATCTGGATCTTGAGTTCTAGCTGGACCTAGGTCTCTCCTATTGAGGAAAGAATTGATTCTCAGCTATCTCTGAGCCTACTGGGAAGAAGAACTGTGGGAAAGAACTGTCTTTCTCAGTGCCTAGTACATAGTAGATACATAAAGGTGGTAGAGTGAATAAATGAAAAACTGTGAAAGCTAACAGGGTTTATAGCTGCATTGATACAGGCGGAGCATCCAAAAGAGAAGGGCCCATGGCCATCCTGTCTTCTCCACCACATCTAGGGTGCTTGGAGGGCAAACCTGCAGAGCTAGGATCCTTGAAGGACCTCAGCTTATTTACTGGCTTAAGGAAAAGAGGTTTGGGGAGGAGGTGGGGGAGGAGATCTTCACTGCCTATAAGTAAATAATGGGCTATCTTGGAAAAGAAGGATTCGTTTTGTTCTGCTTGGCCCCAGAGGGCAGAACCAGGAACACGGGTGCTAGGTGCAGGTGATGATTTCAGAGTGATAAAAGGAAGACCTTAACAATTCAAGCAGCACCACATGAAGGAGGTATGATTGTGTGCCCAGTCTGGAGGACCTGACTTCAAATCCAGCCTCAGACTTACTTAGCTGTGTGACCCTGGGTAAGTCACTTAATCCCAAGTGTGTGTGTGTGTGTGTGTGTGTGTGTGTGTGTGTGTGTGTGAGAGAGAGAGAGAGAGAGAGAGAGAGAGAGAAAGAAAGAGAGAGAGAACACTGAATCAGGAGTAGGGAGATTGTGCTGTCCAATCCTACTAGCCCTGTTAGCCACTAATTCACCCGGGGCCCATAACAAGCCCTTTCACCCCTTCAATCTACCCTCCAGTTGGCTGTCAAAATCATCTTCCTAAAGTAAGGGTCTGACCATACCACCCTTTCACTAAATATTCTAAATATTCACTAAATTAAATTCAATAAATTTAAGTGACTCCCCATTACCTCCAGGATCACTTCTGTTTAGCTTTTAAAGCCCTTCATAAAATGTCTCTTCCCAACCTTTCCAGTCTTCTTACACCTTATTCTCCCTCTTCAAAACAACTGTGCTCTGAGGTCCAGTGACAATGGCATCCTTGCCATTTCTTGAACCCAACATTCCATCTCCTGACTCTGGGCTTTTTTTCTGCCTGTGCCCTTTGCCTAGGGCTCTCTTGCCACTCATCTCTGCCTCCTGGCTTCCTTCAAGTCTCAACTAAAGTCCCACATTCTGCAAAAAGCTTGTCCAATTCTCCTTGATACTAATGCCTTCCCTTGGTTATTTCCAATTTATCCTGATTATGTCTTTGTTATACCTGTTTCCATTTTGTCTTTCCCATTAGACTGTGAGCTCCTTGAGAGCAAGGAATTTTGTTTTATTTTGTTTTGGGGACAGATTACCTTTCTTCGCACTCCCAGCCTTAGTACAGTGCCTGCCATATAGCAGCTGCTTAATAAATATCTGCTGGGAAACTGGGAGAAAAATTTGTAGCAAGTCAGATAAGGCACCTGGGAAACTTTTTTACAGAAAGTTTCTTTGATAAAAGCCTCATTTCTCAAATATATAGGAAACTGAGCCAAATTTATAAAAATATGAGCCATTCCTCAATTGATAAATGGGCAAAGAATATAAACAGGCAATTTTCAGAAGAAATCAAAGCTATTAATAATCACATGGAAAATGCTTTAATGATTATTGATTAGAGAAATGCTAATTAAAATAACTCTGAGGTACCACCTCATATCTATCAGATTGGCTAACATGACAAAAAGGAAAAATGATAAGTGTTGGAGGGGATGTGAAAAAATTGGGACACAATGCACTTTTGGTGGAGCTGTGAACTGATTCAACATTCAGGAGAACAATTTGGAACTAGGG